TGCTGGATGTTTTGTGCTGATTGCTTCGGTTTGGACCCGGCAGCTGGCCATGACTTTTCTGCTTTTGCAACAGATTCACAGAATGTTGTGGGTCCAATAAAAGCTGCCAGTGGTTTGGATTTGATCAGGAATTTGATAATAATATGCAGTTTACTTAGATTAAATAAGATCTGAGCATTTCATGATTCACACAAACAGAAACATCAATGAAATGTAAAATGTAAGCTGGTATTTCTGCAGCATTCCTGTGTGGAGCAGTTAAATATTTAAATGTCATTAACTCTTTCAAACTAAAACTATTAGTAGATTTTATTTAAGTCCCTCCCCTGCATTAACCGCCCTGCTTTAGTGATTTGAATGTTTTCTGGCCGCTTACATGAAGCGCAGCCATTTGTGCATTATTGAAGATCTAATCCTGCTGAGAAAATAACTCTAAAGCTGCTGTTTCATAACCACACACACACACACACACACACACACACACACACACACACACACACACACACACACACACACACCGTAACGGCGTCACACAGCTGTACTTCCTAAATTCATTGAAGGGCAGACCTCCTGCGGTGCGCCTGCAGGTTAATCTGCGTTTCAGACCTGGATGAAGACTTTCTGCTGGTTTCTGTCTCTGTTGGATGTTTGTTGGAAAGTTGAACCTAAATGAATTGATCTGCTTTTTATCGCCGGGTTTATATTAATCTCATTGGGATTGAAACTCTGAACCTGATAAGAACATCCTGGAGTTTTAATGAGTGAAGGAAATATGTGATCTGTAAACCTGAAAACACAGCTGATTAATTTGTATCGTGGGTTCATATTGACCTATTTCAGAGACACATCTCCTTCTAAGATGAGGAAGGATTTGCATAAATGTTTTGATTTATTCTGTTGTTCAGATTTATCTGCTCTTCCTGCAGAGCATGTTCCTTTAGAGACTTCACTTCACAGAAACGATTAATTTCTGGTGCTAATTTATTACATTTAGGATTTAAGTTCTCAAACTTTCCTCAGTTAATAATACATTTCAGGAAGCAGAAATTCACCAAATGGCTCTAAATGAATAATTTAAACAATCTGCAGAGATCTTAGGAGCAGCTTTGTTAATTTGCAGAAATAAAAAAACTTTCAGCAGAGAGTGAAGCTGCATTTTTTAGATTTTTGAAACAGCCGCCATCTTTCTGATGAACTCGGCGCCATTTTCTGTTGATTATTCATGAATTCTTTGATTAATTGAAAGATAATCTGTGAATTCAACCCATTTTTCCCTTGCAGTCACAAAAGGACAGAATGATGGATTCCTCTGAGTTTCACATCATTTTAACTCCGACGTGTTAATGGAGTTTTTCCACAGCAGACACATTTATACTGGTCTCTGCAGGAGAAACCGGATCTGATTAATGCCGGCTCGGTCCCACTGCGGTTCTGAACCGGAAAGATGAAAATGACATCGTCAGGTTTCTGTTCAGCAGCTGAACTTTACCTGCTCACATCAGGCGAATAAAACTGCTTTAAATGTTTTTTTTCTAAATAATACAACCTTGAAACGTTGGGTTTTGGTCGAATCAGTTCAGTTTGACCTGCTAATAATCCAGATTAGCTCTGATTGGTTGAAACTGCGTTGATGAGGCGTTTGGACCCATCGGTTTCCTGCTGTAGCATTTATGAAACTCACTCTGTGATCCAGAATCTCAGCGATTTCCTTTCTGAGCTGATAAACTGATTCTAGGATTTTCTACTCAAACTCAGTTTTACCATCGTCTGTTAGTCCCAAAACGGACCCCAGTGCATGCTGGGAGCTGACTGGTGTTTGTCTTCAACACCAACCCAACCTGCCTGACTGATGCGTTCATATCGCCATGCCGCCAGCGGCTTCCTGCCTGGCGACCCGGTTCTGACGCCAGGCCTCTCTGGTTCCTCCATGAACACATGAAAACTGGAACAATCAGAAGCAGAACCGATGGGTCCAAACGCCTCATCCATAGATTAATCAGTTTATCAATTAAAAAAATTGCCTCATTAAATACATTAAATTATGCAAATAAATAAAACTGACTTACAAGTAACTTTCTACAAATAAATAGGTTATTTTAAGTTAATTATTCCTTAATCTGATCAAAATATTCTACTTTAATTGGTAGATTATTTCACTGATAACGAGATGTTTTCCATGTGAAAAAGCCGACCCATTAGGTTGGACTCAGAGCCATCAGAACCTTTCAGTCCTGAAGTTTCACCTTCTGCTGAAGAGCAACTTGATTATCTGCTGCGTTGCCACCGACTGTCAGATAACAGGATGTAGAGGTTATGTTGATGGAAATCATTAAATCCACATCATTAGCAAACAAACCATCTGTGTGTGTGTGTGTGTGTGTGTGTCTGTGTGTGTGTGTGTGTGTGTCCGTGTGTGTGTGTGTCCGTGTGTGTGTGTGTCCGTGTGTGTGTGTGTCCGTGTGTGTGTGTGTCCGTGTGTGTGTGTGTGTGTCCATGTGTGTGTGTGTTCAACCTGCCCACGCTGTCTCTGTGCAGAAGTGACACAGATCCTCCTTTGCTCAATATCTCATTCATTTATCAGACTACAGATGAACTGTCTGCGGTTCGAGTCCAAAGAACAGCACTCAGGTTTCTCCCAGGTCCAACGTTGCAGTCATGGCTGCTCTCTGCTGCAGCGTTGGGAGAAACTGGCCTAATAAAAGCAGCGGTACAAACTGCCTCCTGGCTTTGGAGCAGCAGAACTCCCAGGTGTGAGAAAGTGTGTCATCCCCAGCTTTTGGTTCAGCCTCAGAGAGTTGCTGCCTTTTGTCAAATGATAGGAATGCTCTGGATGACAGAACGGTTTTTACCTTCCCACCTCGGCTGCTGAGAGCTCACAGGAGGAATTATTTGAAGTGGTGTGAGAACATAAAAGCCTCCACATGAAAGTTTCCGGCAGTAAAACTGACCTGATAAACACGAGCCAAAATAAAACTGGAGGACAGGAGAGGCAGCAGGAGCCGTCAGATGCCTGCAGGGGGTCTGGCTGGAGGCTCATGTCCATTTTAGTCTGACCTGCAACTCTGACTCTGCTGTTTGTCTGAAAGCATCATTCACCGATAACAGAGTCTCTGTTAAAGTCACAACATCGTCGTCATGTTTCACTCAGCGCCTCAGAAAGCTTTCAGGCTTCCTGACTGCAGCTCTTCTGGCTCCTGCAGGAGTTGCTGCAGATTTTGAAAGCAGGTAGTTATTTTCATTTCAAACAAACTTTAAGTTCCTGAGTGAGAGGTTTTCATCTGGTTAAAGCAGCACTGGGCAAAACATCAGCAACTATACAATGAAGATCAATACGATCAATAGATAATACATGTGAATGAACGTTTCAGACATATTGGTAAGTTTAACCGTATAAACTTGGAAATATCAAGGCATATTGACAAGTGGGTTCATAAAAATGTCAGCAATCAGTTCTCTGACCTATGAAATCTCAACTGTCTGCAGTGTGTGTGCAGAGTGTGTGTGCGTGTGCAGGTTGTGTGTGCGTGCGTGCGTGTGTGTGTGTGTGTGTGTGTGCGTGCGTGTGCAGGGTGTGTGTGCGTGTGTGCGCGTGCAGAGTGTGTGGCTTAGATTACACCCGGTTTTTGATAAACCTGCAACCCTCACTATTACAGAATGAAATAACTGGAATCAAAAATATCTCCTGGACTCTTTCCAACCAGAGCTCAGATCCTTGGTTCTGATCCGGATTCTGTCGGGTCGTTCTCACAGAAACTTGTTTGCCTTCAGCATAAATAATCTGAAGCTGGATCAGATTATTTATGCTTCACTGCGTCTCATTTTTATTACATCTTTTTACGTGTTTAAAAACCATGTTGATCTTCACCTTATGGTTCATAATGACTCACTGATTAACTTTAACAATGTTTTTGTTTCATTTTCTGTGTTTTTTGTTTTTGTATTTAAGTCTTTCTGGTTCCTGTTTTGTCAAAGTTGCTTTATAAACTAAAGTTTGTCTGAGTTTTGCTGTTTTATTAAACATTTGTTTCCTGCCTAACGAGCGCCTCAGCTGAACCATCGGGAGCCTAATTTGGCCTCTAATTCTAATTGTAGTTTAGTAGAATGAGATGAACTGATTTCTCAGTGTTTTCTCTGGTCCGTCTCGTAACGTGGGCGTTCTGAGGTCCTGCTGGAACATTTCTGCATGTGAGGCTTATGCAAATAAACCCGGATCTCTGGGGTTGTTTACAGCCTCTCTGGGTTTTAAAGCAGGTTGGCTCCATGATCAGAGAGTCTATTTTTATGCAGAGGTAAAAAACCTTTCTTACCTGCTCTCCCCCTCCTGTCCTGTTATTTTTTTCTGTTGTTCTTTAATCAGCGTCGTCTTCTTGCCACACGCTGAGCTCGCCATCTGCCGCTGCTGTCAGCGCCTCAGGAAGTCATCGCTGTATTTCTGATTATCTGGCTTTAATCGCCTCCTCTTCAGGGAGACGCAAGGTTAGCAGGGAAAGCAGCTCGCATGAGGTCCAATAAAACCGCAGCGGTAAAATAAATCCACTCGACCTTCAATGTCTGGCCTGATATGAAGACATCAGAGCTCTGCTGCGTTGTGTTACAACACTTTATGTATTTTTGTTATCAACTTTAGCTTAATGTTCTGAGTTTTTTCCAACAGCTATTAATGTACCAACTTTTCTAAGAGTTAATTATGAATAATTATGCATGATACAAACCACAAGTCTTCATCTTTCCTTTACACACGGATCTGATCCATTTTGGATTATTTTATTTTGTGCTTCATATTTTAATAGAACTGTCGATCAGATCCATCTAATGATGCTGAACTGGATCAAATATGACTGAGAGGTGAAAGCCGAGCAGCGTCGCAGTGAGCTGTAAATCCCGGATCATCTGCGACAAACATTCCCAAAACAAAGATCGGCGTTACATCACCGTAACAACCGATGCAACCCGTGACCTGTCAGTTTCTGACGGCCATGTTTGGTGTTTTTCCTCCACAGTGGGACCTGAGAGGCTGAGGACTGGGAGGCGTTGGACTGCATGAGGAGGCCGAGCGACGGGACGCTGGCCCTCACCTAGACCCCGCCCCCATCGACCCCTAACCCCCCCACACCGCCCTGACATGGTGAGACCCCTCTGCTTACTGGTAGCTGAGGTGAACCAGTAGCAGTAATCCCAGTTCCTCCCAGTCTAATGGTTTCTGACACCATCACCAGATGTTTCCATTATGTGTGAAATCTTTGTCTATATTCTGCTAAATTCACCACTGCTGTGTTTTTATTAAGTAAGAAATTGCTTGCTGTCGTCTTCTTCTTCATTTCTGATAGTAGTAAAAACCCAAACAGGTTTTTCCATTGCAGTTTTGCTAAACTGGAATATGGCTAGAAAACATATAATCTACCGCAAAAACATTTTGAGAAACATTTAAACATTGGAGCGTTTCCAATGACTAAATTGATTTTTGTCATTTTAATTTGCACAATTTTATGGTTCATGGAGATGCAGCTACTAAGTCAAATATATATCACATTGATATTTATTGTCTCCAAATTAGCCTACTGTCTCTTTAAGAAACTCCTGCTTTTTCTGAAGCTCCGCCTTCAGGAAGTCATCAAAACATGGCTCCTCTAAAGCCCTTTAACAACCTGTTTACCAGTGTTTTTCTGAGCAGTAGCTCCTAGAATGAGCTCAGCTTTTCCATCAGGTGTTTGCTAATTGCTGCTGGCTAGTCTGAAGGAGCTGAGTGTTGGGGGAAGGTACTCTGCAAAGTCCAAAAATAACCAAAAGTTTCTCAGGGCGGATGTATGGTTCTGATTTGATCACAACGTTTGATGCAAACGTTTTGTTGCAAATAATCAACAGAGTATCAAAAAGATTCAATCAACAGAGTATCAAAAAGATTCAAGTTAAGAAAGTAGCATGAAGCTAGCAGGTCATCTTCCTGAACTTCAGCTGAGCTGCAGCTAGGGGGCGTTTGGTTCTTTCATCTGGAGACGCATTTCCACCCTGAAAACATCGATAACGTCTTTCGGCTAAAAACCGTTCTGTCGTCTGTCTTCCTCTGGAGGCTTTTTACAGGTAAACCCAAATGTTAAAGCAGTTTTCTCTGCTCTGAATGTAACGTGAAAGTAAATGTCAGGCAAACGGTGGATGTAATTAAATCAGTGAGCGTCGTCAAACTCCTCCATCCTGCAGGTAGCAGGCCTGACGGAACGCCGGGCTCTGATCCAGAATCCATGTTGACGTCTTAATCTTTCATCTGAGCGCCGTTAATGTTTAGTTTTGTGGGTTACGGTTGTCGACTCGACGCTCACTCTCCTCCGCCTCCAGCAGCTCGGAGATTAGCTGGGCTGTGATGAACGACCTCACAACTTCGCTCAGAACCACCGTGAATTATTAACGCCCGTCATGAATAACGCGCCGTAATGAGGAGCGCTTACAGGCTGCGCGGTCGGAGGAGAGGATGGCAGTTTAACAGAAGACAAGATGGAGTGAGGCGGTGTGGCGACCTTTGACCTGATGGCTGGTAGATGGAGGAGCTCTGGCCTGAAAAAATGACATCCTGGTTCACTGTGCAGCAGCGAGGGGACGGTTCAGTGATGTCACAGAGGTCAAAGTTGAGCAGATGAAGCTGAATCAGGGTCATGATGCTCAGACCTGCCGCAGCTCAGACCTGCCGTAGCTTAGAGCTGCAGTCTGTAACTTCTATATGTTTTTTGCATATTTGTGAAAACTCACCATGTTGTGATAATTTAAAATGAGACAAAGAGTTCAGGTGTTTATCTGAGTCGGGACAGTTTCCTGCTGTCTAATTATCTGTGTGATGCTTTGCTTTGATGATCTGCTGCTGATAATCCCTCTGCAGCATAAAGCCCAAAGTTCTGATGGTTCTGTTCTGCAAATGAGCGTCATGGAGGGAAAATGCCACTTCTGACTAAAAAACATCAACATATGAGCGTTTCTGTGGCCTCCATTCATCTTCTTCTATGGTGGCTGTAACTCTGCTGCAGATCCTGGATTTATGTCTGCAGTTTTTAATCACAGGTGCAGAACCAGAACCAGAACTGCTCAATAAAACTGGCTCATTAGTTTTCCTCAGAAAGGCAGCAGCTGTAATTGAAACAGCCGTCCAACTCGCCTGCCTCGGTGTTTTCATTCATGTGGGCAGTCGGGCGATGAAGGTTTGATTACAGCAGGGCTGCAACTAACAATTACTTGATTTAATCTGTTGATTATTCTAACGATTATAATTGTATTTAGAAAAGCGTCAATAGATCAGACTGCTGAACTGTGTTTTAACTTGTTCATTTAGTTTATGTATAAAAGTGTCTCTCCTCAACCTCAGAGGTCGTTCCGGTCGTTTGCGAACGACGACCGCCATGTCATGGCCAAACACGCCAGCGTCTACCCGGCGCCGGAGGAGCTGGAGGCCGTCCAGGCGCTGGTGTCCACCGCAGAGGGAGCTCTGAAGAAGGTTTCTGACTGGATGGACGGCCTGAAGGACTCCGCAGGGAAGACGTCCAGCTGTGATGACGAAGAGGAGGAAGATGCTGCAGAGACGGAGTGAGTGGGATTGTGTTAAAAACTCAGTGGGTTCACTGTAGAAGCGGTGACCCTGTAGAGCAGACGTTGGTGCTGTGAGGTAATCGGACGCTGGCCGCCCTTCCTCTGTCTTAGCCCAGCTGGAGCGCCGGTTCTGTGCGGGGTGAACCGGGTCGGCCTGCTGGCCAAAGGTCTGCTGATCAGAGGCGACATGGAGCTGGAGCTGGTGCTGATGTGCCGACCCAAACCCACCAAGCTGCTGCTGTACACCGTCAGCGCCAACCTGCCCCTGCAGATCCAGGTACAGGCCGTCAGCGCGCCCGCCCCTTTAAGACACGCAGGAACTGGCCTTAAAGGGGCGGCGTCATGTTAAATCCATTTTACATCAAATTATGTCTGTCAGTTTTAATAAATGTGGATGTTACTAGTGGGTGGATTGTTGTGGTGGAAAAAAGACAGTGAAAATGAGCCTTCAGCATCAGAATGATGTTTCCATCATTATTTCTTTAGTTTGTTGAAGGTTTTTTAGGCAGGAAAGGATCAGAGAATATTAAGTGTCGCTGCGCCTCCAGAGAGTCGCTGTGCTGTGATCCGTCCAGATCCCAGAGGATCAGTCTGGATCCTCGGGCCGCTCAGAGGATGGAGGTTTTCCTCCATTAATTACTCATCACAGCTTCTTCATCAACAGAGGAAACCGTCTGAGGATCTCATTTCCTGCAGCTACCTGCAGCCTGACAGGCTGTGAAGGTTCCATCTTCACATCCTGATGGATGGAGCCGGTTTCACCTGCAGCAGATGAAACGCAGCGCTGTGCTGCAGGAAGCTGGTGCAGCTTACTTCCTGTTCATGTCGTCATGGAAATCGATGCAAAATAATAATATTTGATTTTCTGAATTCTACTTTTCTGATTCATAAATCTTTGGAAAGCCACTGAAATTCCCACTGAAACATTAACAGATTTGGGAACACTGGGAAAAACTACTTAAGGAAAAATAAGAAAAACTATTCAAAATATACAAATTAAAAATATAGATTTTTCTAGACTAGGAGATTTCATCAGGTAGAGGAATAAAAATCGGCTCTAATTAGCACCACTAATGGAAATAAAACAGAATTTTGCAATAGCAATGTTTCCCATAAACATGAGTTGCAATTAAAATTTCAAGAAAACGTTCATCTGATGAATCGTTAAAAAACTCCTGTTAATATCCGATTATTGATTATGTGACATGATGATGCGAAAAAGGTGTTTCTGTCGCAGTTTTGTGAAATAAACCATTTTTGATTTGGCTGAAAATCTCCCTCATCGTAGCACAAAAACTATTTTAAGTTCTTTTTCCATGAAGCTGATTTAGTTTCTTAATTCCAATTTGCTCAATTTTATAGTAAATAAAAACACATCTATTCAACTTATATATTTATTCTTTTTGTTTTACCTTGATACCAAAAATGACTGAAGCATCTTAAATCTGAGGACCGATAGGCGGACGGATGGACGTCTTTATTGGGGTGCAGCGATTGCAGTTTTCTGGCTGATTTGGACATTAAAAAGCTGCTGAGTAAATATTTTTGTCTGAAATATTTCCTAATGCAGCCAGTAAGTTGCTGAGTTGGCAGCAATGTGGTCACTATTGTTGCCTGCAAACGCAAACGTGACCTGGTGACCTGGTGGGCGGGGCCAATATCCGAACCTCTCCTGGGATCAGGACAGAGGCTGATTTCAGACCTTTCCTGATTTAGATAAGATCAGTGGATCAGCTCGGCTTCACATGGAAGTATTGACGATCACTGATCAAAGGAGATCAGCTGATCGATGGATAGGTACACAACCTTGCTGTGTGTTTCTGGTTATTATGGTAACGGCGTCGCTTTGTTTTACAGACTATGACAGACGACAGGTACGAAGTCCGGTCGTGTGTCTCTGAGGCAGCGATCCGGGTCTGCAGCACCAAAGATCCCAGACTGACCCTGAAGATCACCCTGACCTCGCTCGCCATGAGGGAGGAAGAGGAAGATGATGAAGGTACTCACTCGTCTGATCACATCGAGGACGAACTGCATCATGGGAGGCGACACCTGAGCCCAGAGGCTCGGCGCACTGAAAGCCGAGAGGCGATGGATCTGGGTCAGCAGCAGCTGGACGGAGGATTTCCTGAGAGGATCCACGGAAAGCGAGCCGCCCGTCTCCGGTGGCGACGCCGTCTCTGATCCGATTGGACCTCAGAGGCCGCCGTCCGTTTTAGACCCGGTCTGAGGCGGCGGCGGAAAAGCCTGCCGGCACCCAGCGTCTCTGATCTTCATCGCGGTCTGAAGTTCTGGCGGTCCAGAACGACGAGCCCGCTCCGGTTTCTGCTCCAAACAGCTTCAGCTGTGTCCAGTGAAAACCGGCAGAAAAAACCGGATCGTTCCTCGTTCAGGTCCGATGTCCTGACAACAAATCATCTAAAGTCAGGTTTTTCACTCTGCTGGTGAATATGAGCAGAAACGACTGATTACAACGTTTGATTTAAAAGCATTAAAGCATGAAAACTTCTCTGGTTTATTACAGGATCAAATGACTGATGTTTGAAAAGCCTTAAAATAAACTTTTCTTTTTAATTCCAAAGGTCCAAATGACCAGAAACATAAACAACAGCTGTGTTGACGTTTATGATTAAAGATTGATGTGGAATAAAATTAAATTAAATGCTGAATTAAATGACTTCAGTTCCCCTTCTCACCATCGGAGTTGCTATAGTTCCCACCGTGTCCAAACCCATCCTAAGCGTGGGTCAGAGGTCACGGTCAGGGTTGTTTTTACAGGTCAGGTGACGAACGGCAGTTCATGACCCAGATGAACAGAAACATTCGCTGTGATCCAGAGCAAAGCAGCGACTGTTGAGTTTCTGCAGATTCAGAGTTCATGATGGAAACTTTAATTCACCTCAGTGTGAAAACGGAGATCATTGTTTCCTCCCAGCCGACGTTTGGCTTTTATCTGAAGGTTTTCCTGATTTTATCTGAACGTTATTACTTCCAGTCAGCTGCTGTCTCTAAATGAAGGTGGAAATTAAAATCCAAAGGAATATTGATGTTTTATTTTTTATTAACCGGAGAAGAGGTGCAAATAAATTCGTTTTTATTTCTAAGACCGTTAAAGAGGATGAGTTAAGGTGGACAGTTCAGCTGAAACATTCTGCATTTCAATCACTTACATTCTGCAGAAACACTTGGCTGCATTAGGAAGGATTTAAAAGGCCATTATTTAACATTTTAATATATTTAGTACAAATCTTCAATTTAGGAGCCTGGCTCTGTGATAGTAGGCGGCGGTATAATGGTGTGGTATGAGACTAAAAACTATTAGTTTTTAGTCTGTAATCTGGCTCTTTGTTGCCAGTTTTTAGTCTGTAATCTGGCTCTTTGTTGCCAGTTTTTAGTCTGTAATCTGGCTCTTTGTTGCCAGTTTTTACTCTGTAATCTGGCTCTTTGTTGCCAGTTTTTACTCTGTAATCTGGCTCTTTGTTGCCAGTTTTTACTCTGTAATCTGTCCTTTTGTTGCCAGTTTTTAGTCTGTAATCTGGCTCTTTGCTCTCATTTTGTCCTGCGGTATCTGATATCACTCTAATCTTCAGTGATTCATGCCTTCATCCTCTGATTTGCGGAAAAGCTGCATGTTGTCACATCTCCTTCCCTCGTCAGTCTTATAAATCTTTCTGCTTTATGTGTGTCAGAACAAGCCCCCTCCCCCACCTGTTGCTCTTTAGGTCAGAGCAGACGGTCGACATAATATATTTTTAACCTCTCCGTTCTTGTTCCTGTTTGTTTTTCCAGAGGAAGTCGATCAAGAAGAAGGCGAGCCGAGGCGTGAGGAAGAGGAGGAGGAGGAGGAAGATGTCCTGGACAGATTGAAGTGCCAGGCGGCGCTGGCGGCGCTCCGACACGCCAAGTGGTTCCAGGTGAGCTCAGCAGGTCCTGGGTGGAATGATCAGAGTAACGACCCGGTTCTCCCGGATGACCTGATGCTGATTCTGCATCAGGTCACCTTCATGTTTTCATACGATGAAGGTTTCACCTCCTGGTTGCTGGTTTTCTCCCAGTAGAATCGTTTTTACCCATCAGGTTTCCAGCTCAGGCATCAGATTATTCAGAGTTGGTTTGTTTTTGTTAACATCAAACAACCTGATGAAATATGAATGTTTTTTATTCATATTGTGAAGGTTGATGCTTTTTCAGTTTCAGTATTTATGTTCACTTGAGGTGGCTTTTAGCTTTCTAAAAAACTAGATAACTAAATAAAAGCCCTAATGGGGCTGTGACATGTGGCCCATGGCAGCAGTAATCTCTACTTCCCTGGAGGGACTCGAGATCCTAACATCAACATCTGACCTAATTAAGCTTTAGCTTTATGGGTTTCCATCAAATTTTAGTTTTAAAATTTTGAAGTGTTGTATTAGAAATGAGCGCAAGCAGTTGATACATGAGTTGATTGACAGCACTAAGACCCTCCTTCTGTCTCTTGATAGGTTGATTTTGACCAGGAGGATTTCTACAAATGGTAACCTAATCAAAGGGTCTGCGATTTGACTAGGCCGTTGCACTATCTTGATTCTAAAGAACCAACATTTTCTAAATGTTTAAAGTTGTTTTTGTTGGATTAAAATTAGAAAATGTTTATAAGAACAATGATAACCTATTGCAGGGTCAAAGGTCAATTCAACACTGTGTCTCAACATGCAACAAAATTCAACACTGTGTCTCAACATGCAACAAAGTGTCTCAATTCAACACTGAACCAAACTAGATGAATGAGGTTTGATCGAGTTGAAGGTTTGATTTCCTCTGAATCGGCTCCAGTAACTCTGACTAAACCTGCAGTTCCTGGCCGTCAGCAGCGTGTCGGAGCTCCAGAGGTCGTGACCTTGCCTCTCTTTGCTGCTTGTTGAAACGCTCCTCACGCCTCCGTCTGTCCCTCAGGCCCGGGTCGCCGACCTCAAGTCCTGCCTGGTGGTTCTGCGGGTTCTGAGGGACGTGTGCAACCGGCAGCCGGAGTGGCAGCCTCTTCAAGGATGGGTAGGTGCTGCTCAGCGCAGGAGTTCCTGGAGGTCATGACCTCTGAGCCCCTCTGGTGGTCTTATGTGTCTGTGCAGCCGCTGGAGCTGATCTGCGAGAAGGCCGTCGCCACTAGCAACCGTCCGCTGGGTCCAGGAGAAGCTCTGCGCCGGGTCATGGAGTGCGTCGCCTCAGGGATCCTGCTACCAGGTCAGAGGTCAAGGGCCATTCCATTCCAGCTTCATTCAGAAAGCACTTCAAAAACAACTCTGCTGTACAACCAGAAACAAAAACAAACAATATGATAACAGCAAAACCAACGATTTCAGCTGAGTGAAGAGCCGGCTAACTTTAGTTCACTAGTTAGCTAACTAGTTAGCTGTTTCATTAGCTAGCTAGTTAGCTATTTTATTAGCTAGCTAGTTAGCTGTTTTATTAGCTCACTAGTTAGCTGTTTCATTAGCTAATTAGTTAGCTGTTTCATTAGCTAATTAGTTAGCTGTTTCATTAGCTAACTAGTTAGCTGTTTCATTAGCTAACAGATCTAATTTGACTTTAAGGAATCATTACACATTTTTTTCAAGATCTGTTTTTGTGGCAGTGATTTCTGTCATACGTTAACAGCTACAGTTTTCCTAAAACATGAGGAATAAATCATTTTTATTGTCACTTTTATTACATAAGGTCATGTTTATGACCAATTATATGTTATATAACATATAATTATGTTATATTATGTTGTACGATAACATAACGGTAAAACTTCCATATTTTCTATATCAGATGAATAACAGATGTTGGAACTGTCCTGGTGATGATGAGCTGCATCATGTCAATAGAGAAACGATTCCCTCTCTGCTCCACCATTTCTGTATAAAACAGGTTTATTACTGGAAAATCAAATCAAAGTGGGATTAAAAAGCTGCAGAAGCACAGAGAGCTGAGAAGAGCAGAACTGATTCAGTCTGTTTCAGAAACATGATCCGATTCACCTCCATCTCTGAGAACCACTGAATATTTTCCAGCCTGAGCCTCAGTCTGCTAAATGTTTCTGCTTCGCTCCAATGAACACAAACGTCCTCTGATGTTTTCTTTCCTCGCTTCGTTTTCTGATCCTCCGTCTGGGAATCCTTCACGTCGTTTCATCAGCAGAGAGTTCAACCTTCTGATGACGTGAGCGCTTTGCTAACAGCCTCTCAATCATTCAGGAGCTTCTTTTCAGGCTGAATTTCACAGAAAATAGAAAACAAGGGTTTTTTTTTCTTTGTAATTTTTTTTCTCTGAGGATTTTGATGGCTCCAGTGGCCAGTATTTTTCTGAAAGTAGGCTGACAGGAAAGAGGGGAAGACATGCGGCAAATGTCACCAAGTCTGGGAATCAAACCCGCAACGGGGACTAAGGTCTCCATATGTGGGTTGTGCTAAACCTTTACGCCACGGCAGCACGACAGAGAGTCAAGACCAATGTAGACACAAAAAGAGAAGTAAATTTACACCAAAAAACTTTTTTTCAGAAAAAATGTGAAAATATCAAAGTTTTAAAAGAAAAAATGTTCAACTTTTCAAACTCAAAAATTTACAAGTTTTTTCTACAAAATTTCTGAGTTCATTCTAGCAAGTGTTTTACTTTTCAAGCTCAAAAATTTCTAGTTTGAAATTCAAGCATTTTTGGTGGAAATTTGCTGCGTCTCTTTTTTTCTCTCTACACTCGCAATACTCCGTAGAAAACAGGAGACGGATGTTTTGCCTTATTTTAAGAACCTGTGTGTGTGTGTGTGTGTTTTGGTGCCAGGAGGCCCAGGAGTTCATGACCCCTGTGAGCGGGAACCCAGAGACGTTCTGGCGCAGCTCAGCGCTCAGGAAGCCGACGCCCTGACACGCAGCGCCCAGGTGAGTCCCAAACGTCCCACATTTCCACGCCGTCCCCAAACCTAGCAGCTCAGACAGCTTAGCATTAGCATAGCAGCCTAATTTGAGCATCTTGTTGCTCAAAGGCACTGTGGTAAGGAAGTCTGGAGCGCTTCCTGTTGGCTCGGGCCCCCAGACCGCTAAACGAACAGACCTGATCTCACCTCTGCTCCACAGCAGCTCTAAGCGGTTCTACAGGAAGCAAAGTGGGTCAGAATTCATTCAGGAGGCGTTTTATTTAAAACGATGCTCTGATCTCTGCTGGAGATGAAGCATTCTGCAGAACTTCTTCACTTTTTTACACCCAGAATCAGATTTTATGAGCTCTGACCTGCAGAGCTTCATAAAGCCTCTCCTCCTGTTTTCCTGCTGTAAAACTGAGCGCGCTCATTAAGGGGCGTCCCACCGAGGTTCGCCTCTGCACCGCCGGCAGCCGCAGACTCAGCAAGTTCCTCCAGGAAGCAGCTGAGATCAGTTTAGGAGCAACTTCTGAGTGAAACATTGTTAAAGGCTTAAAAGAGGAGCCATGTTGTGAAGGAAGAGTTTCGGAAAGAGTCGGAGTTTCTTAAAGAGACAGAGGCCCAATTTGAAGCCATGAAATTCTGTAGCCAAATTTCTGCTAAGTTATATACAGCATGTTTTTAACTGAATGTAACACTTGATTGTGCTATAAAGTGGCACATTGTGGCTGTAAAACATATAATATACTGTCAAATTAAATAGTCCATTAAGTTTTAGATTTGCTCTTTACTGGTAATACTTTGTTTTTATCATACAAAATCCTTGTTCATGTACATCTGAGGTTTTTTTCTCACTAAAGCTATAAAATCCCATGTTTCATTTAAAACTATTCTATTTAATAACAGTAAATTGTGAATCTCTGCCACACATTGAAACTTCATAGAAATTATTTCCTCCTGGAAGGTTTTAGTGTTTATAATGCATGAAGTTTCCTCAACACTCCGAGCTTCTGGGTAATTAAAGCCAATCGATCAGAAACCCATTGATAGCTGTGCAGCCTGTTCCTGCTCTGTTTTTAACCATCTGTGTGTGGGTGTGTGTGTGTGTGTGTGTGTGTGTGTGTGTGTGTGTGTGTGTGTGTGTGTGTGTGTGTGTGTGTGTGTGTGTGTGTGTGTGTGTGTGTGTGTGTGTGTGTGTGTGTGTGTTTCAGCATGCGCTGCGCCTCATTGCGTTCGGTCAGCTGTACAAGGTTCTGAACATGGATGCTCTGCCAGCCACCAAGGCTTCTCCACGGCTGCTGGAAGGTCAGAGTTCAGGAAGTTTTCTGTTGTTTTGAATGTTTTATGTCTAAAAGATTCTTCCTCCTCCTCCTCCTCCTCCTCCTTCTTCTCCTCCTTCTCATCCTCGTCCTCCTCCTCCTCCTCTTCTTCCTCCTGCAGCCTGTGTGACCCCTCCTCCTCCTCCTCCTCCTCTTCTTCCTCCTGCAGCCTGTGTGAATCCTCTGTGTTTGTTTTGCTTGCAGGCGGCTGCCTGAAGAGGCTGCGGGACGACTCAGGCTGGGAAGACAGAGACTTCACCAAACGGATGAAAGGTGATTTAACTTCCTGGTTTCAGCTCTGAAACATCTGCAGCAGCTGGAAGCAGATCAGGTCTGATCAGAGCTTTTAGTTTTTTGTCTTCAGTTCAAAACCTGAGTGAACTCCCCACCCCACCTCCTTTAAATTGGTGTCAAACTTTCATGCAGCAAAAATTTTCATTTGTTCTGCTTTCATTTTTAAGATTTTAATAAAAACGTTCCCAGAGGTCATCATCAATATTTTCAAATTAAAAGCAGCAGAAACAATCTTTGTAGAAGTTTGTTTCTGGTCACATTTAACTGGCAGCAAACAAATTATGTTTAAGAAACTGATATGTGGAAGCAGCCAGAGATTTCTCTCTTTCTCTTCTTGTTTGAAGATCCTAATGTCTGAAAATATTTTAAATAATCTTCCTGAGATTGAAAAAGACAAAATGTTGAACATAAAAGCAGAATGTTGTGAGAAAGCTTCAGAAACAGCAAATTACTGTGAGGCAGTCGGAGCAGAGAGTCTAATAGCAGCAGATAAATGGATATCGACTGAAGACTGGAGTCAGAAGAGAGCTCCAGTGTGTGTGTGTGTGTGTGTGTGTGTGTGTGTGTGTGTGTGTGTGTGTGTGTGTGTGTGTGTGTGTGTGTGTGTCTAAACACCTGCTGATGGCAAACAAGGTGATGTTGAACAGCCTTTGTAAAAGGTGAGAAAGTGACTCAGTGGCCTGAAAGCTGTGAACTTTCCTAGAAACCAGGCGGCTCCAAACAGCCTGCAGGGTTTCATCAGAGAACAAACTCCAGAGAAGTTAATCTGCAGCTCAGTGTATCAGAGCTCCATGAAGTCCCTGGATTGATGGAGGAAGTCGCTCCTGGACGTTACTGGCTGAAATATTGTTTTTATGTTTGATGAGATTCAAATACTGATATTTCTGATCAGCTTCTGGTAGTTGGAATTTCAGAGAAGTCAACGTTTCACATAGTCCTGCTCTGGATTTTGCAAACATGCATGAAAGAATCAAGTTAACATTAAAACATGATGAAAAGATTAAAACTTATATTTTAAATGACACTGCCCCTTTACATCTGAATATGTGAAAAATGTATTGATCTGCAGCTGATAATTTTTTATTATTGGTTGAGGTTCATCTTGTTCTGTTTGATGTTCAGAAATAATGATCAGCTCTAATCAGCCGTTTTACTGGAGGGATCAATCCTGCCGGCTTCAGCATCACAATTATCTCACTGCCTCCTTCAACAGTCAGTCAGGGCATTAACACCCCCAAAACCCCGCCGCCCCCTGAAAAACCCATCAGCACCTTCACCTTCATCCTCTCCATCTGTCTCCATCTGCACTCCTCAGGACAAAACTGCTGCTCCCATCACTCCCTCTGTTACCCGACCTTCTCACAAAGGACAGCTTGTCATCGTTTTTAAAGAACCATCATTTTATTTCTGTTTTCCCAGAAAAAAAACATTTTCATTTTCTCCTGATTATTTGTGGCAAATGTGGAAAAAAAGCACATAGTTTCCAACTAAGGAATAAAATCAGATTTGAAAATGTATGACTGGCCCTTTTAGTTTTGATATACATTTACACAAAGCACAGTTTTGAAACTTGCATTTATTATATTTATATTTAAAAACATCTGTGTTTTTTAAAAATCATTTTCAGTCATAAAAATCCTGAATAACAAAAGAAGCCATGATTTTCAGAGAATCAGGCTAAACTGGTTGAGTATCAGAATTAGCTCCGCCCCTAACTCCACTCTGGTCCCGCCCACACTTAGCCCCGCCCATAGTTAGCGCCGCCCCTAACTCCACTCTGGTCCCGCCCACACTTAGCCCCGCCCATTGTCAGCCCCACCCACAGTTAGCACAGAAGCTAACACAGAAACAGAAGAAGAATCGAAGTCAGAGTGGAAACATTGAAACCTTCTGAGTCCTGGTGACGTTTTTAATTAACTTGATTAACAGCATTTTATTTTAATTAGTGCTAAATTATCACCAAAGACCAGAAAAGCCAATTTTACCGATACAAAATCAGCTTTTAATTCATGTATTAAACTTCACTATTAATAATATAGGAACCGTTTTCAAAGAATGGTTCATTTTTTCAAACAAATTTGCAAACTGTGAATTTATTTCCATAAAGCAAGAGGGCAAAACCAGTTCTAAGTTTGGGATCTGCAATTATATAAATATGTTAAATCAAATATTGATTTAATGGTATATTGATAATTCAGCACAGAGATTGTTGCATCATCACTGAAAGTCGATCATTCTTGAAATCACAAAACTGAAAATATGAATAAGTTAAAACTATAGAGAGAATCAAGCAGCGGTTCGGTTTCTGTGACACTGTGTCCGGTTCTGGTTCTGCTCCAGGTTTCTTCCTGTAACCAGGAAGTTGGTCCTTTCCACTGTCGCCACATGCATGTTCAGCATGAGGGATTGCTCCAAAGTCATTGATCATCAATCATCCAGCTTCATTTTGAAAACATTTGTTTCTGTTGGATTATAATCTGAATTGGACCGTTTTGTTTTAGAACTGGTAAAGATTAAGTCTCTGACAGGAAGAACTGGCATTAGTTTGATTTTATAAGACAAATATTTTTTTATTGGGTTTAATTTTCTCCTAATCAGAAATGTTTTATGTTTTTTAGCGATTTTTGGGTTTAATATCTGCGTCTTTGTTTCTGTAGTGCTGGACTGGAGGATGACCGACCCGAACCATCCCATGAACGCCCTGATGCGTCTGAATCAGATCCATCCGGGCCTTCAGTACCGCCTGCTGTGTCAGTCGGGTCCGGTCCACGCGCCGGTCTTCACCATGTCTGTAGAGATCCAGGGAACCACATACCAGGCCAGCGGGAACTCCAAGAGGACGGCCAAGCTGCAGGTGGCCCTGAAGGTACGGCCCGGTTCTCCAGAACCGACAGACTTACAGAACCAATGGTTCTACAGAACCGGCGGTGGTGGGAGCACTTCTTCTACTTTGCCATCAGGATAGATAATTTTATTTAATATTGAAGCTCATTTTGAAAAGTGTGCTTTGCTTTCCCTAAATTCATTTTTCTGCATAAATTCTAAACTGCTAATTTATTGGTCTGTTTTGTGAACTTCAACATCTGTGTTGAAGTTTGAGTTTTGTTACCAGTTCCCAGCACTGCTTAGTGCCTTGCTCAGAGACACTCCTGTCTCTGGCTCCCTGCAGGCCCTGCAGGCTCTGGGCTTCGTGCTCGCCTCAGACGGAGACCTGGACTCTCTGAGCGCCGACGAGAAGTCTGACGGAGAAGGAAAGAACGACAGGATGTCGACCAGCTCCAGCTCCACATCCGTCGCCTCGTCCACGGAGACCCAGGAGGTGGGAACACACACACCGACACACACCAAACACACACACCAACACACACCAACACACACACCAACACACCAACACACACCAACACACACAACACACCGACACACACCAACACACACACCAACACACCAACACACACCGACACACACACCAACACACACACCAACACACACCAACACACCAACACACCACACAACACACACCGACACACAAACACACCCACACACACACCAACACACACACCAACACACCAACACACCAACACACACACCAACACACACCAACACACACCAACACGGTTCCTAAAGTGTCTTTGTGCCATAAAACAAACTGGAAACCTGTTCAGTCTGAGGTGGGAAACGTTTTGTTTCTGTTTCTCCTTTGATGTTTATGGTATTTAGATGGTTAATTTATAATCACCACTTCCTGTTTGCTCAGCTGCTGAATTGATCAAATCCAGGTCGGTTCAGATTCTGCTTTTATGCAGTAAAATCCATCAGATTGTGATGATTTGACTAAATGTTGAATCAAACTTAAGGCTATGAATAATTATATAAAGTGTTGTTAATTTAACATCACCATAGAACAGCTCTGGAGGTCCGGGTTCTGATTGAGATTCACCGGATCAGAACCGCGACAACCCGTTAACTCCCAGCATGCCTCTGTGTCTCAGTCCAGAGCTCCGGGTCCGATCCTGACGGCGGGCGGGAAAAACCCGGTGATGGAGCTGAACGAGAAGCGGCGCGGCCTGAAGTACGAGCTGATCTCCGAGAGCGGCAGCAGCTACGACAAACGCTTCATCATAGAGGCACGAACACACACACACACACACACACACACACACACACACACACACACACCAACACACACACACACACGCACCAACACGCACACACCAATACACACACACACGCACACACACACACGCACCAACACGCACACACCAATACACACACACACACAAACGCTTCATCATAGAGGCACGAACACACACACACACACACACACACGCACACACACACACACACACACGAACACACACACACACACGCACCAACACGCACACACCAATACACACACACACGCACACACACACACACACCAACACGCACACACCAATACACACACACACAAACACACACCAACACACACGCACACACACACACACACCAACACGCACACACCAATACACACACACACACATGCACATGCACACATCCCTACACACACACACTTGTTAGATGCCAATTTTTAGGTTTTTTTTGTAACTTCTTATGTATATTGTCTCTGACCCACGACCCTCTGACCCATGACCCTCTGACCCCTGACCCTCTGGCCCGTGTCCCTCTGTCTCCCCCTGCAGGTGGAGGTGGATAAGCAGGTGTTCCGGGGAACTGGTCCCAATAAGAAGGTAGCCAAAGCCAGTGCGGCGCTCGCCGCTCTCAACAGCTTGTTCTCTGGATCCAAACTGACCAACGTGAAGAAGAAACGCCTCAATAACCCGGCAGTGAGTTCAGCTCTGAGGGAGACTGCGCCCCCCGCTGGCCAGTGGCTTCAGTTCAGCTCTGATCTCTCTGTCTGTGCAGCCGAAGCGACCCCTGACCTCCGTGCTGACCATCCCGACGCTCGCCGCCAGAGCTCCACGGGTCCCCGTCCTGCCCAGAGCGCCGTACATCAGCACGCCTCCCACACACGGCTACATCCCCCCTGGTGGGTCCGGCTGCAGATTAAATAATCTTTCAGGATTAAATGAAGATTTTTCTGCTGTTTGGATCAAAACATGAAGAAAAGCTAGAATTTCCTTTAGAGATCTTCTGACCGTTTCAGCGGCTCGTTTGTTTCTTTATGATGGATTCAAACCTGGAAGACGAACCTGCTGAAATCCTTAGTTTCTGGTTGCCATGGCAGCAGAGGAAGCCCGCAGCATCACTGTTCATGACTGAAACGAAAACCTTCTGTTCCTGCTGGGGACGAAGGTTCACTGTGAGAACGTTGAGTCTGGTTTCCTCTCAGCTCCGAGACTTTAACACAAAACATGTTGGAGCAAAAACTGTAAAAATCTACAAACATTTACAGTTTAAATTAGTTTAAAATGTTTTAAAAGTTTAAAATTATTCTAAACTGTGCTTCAGAAAGGCCGTCTCAGAGTTTTGTGTTTCAGATTTATTTAGCATTACTGCATGTTTGGAGTCAGTTTAGATCTAAACTCAGTCTAAAAAATGTTTAGCAGGAACTTTAATTTTTAAAGTTTTACTCCCATTCTTCTGTTTTCCTTCATTAAATGGGATCAATTATGCAAAATGTCCATTTGGGTTTTTACTGCTTCTAGAAAAACAGATTAAACTGTTTTCTGATGGTGACAGATTTTGTCTCCTCTGCAGGTTTCGGTGCTCCGTACGGCTACAGCCCTGCTGCCCCCCTCCCTGCCTACAGTAAGCCCCCTCCACCTCTGATCAATAATCAATAATCCATCCATCATCCCATCACTCCAGCTTCTATTCTTTGGCTCTTCCTCAGGTCTTCCCTCCAGATTGCCCTCAGTAGTTGTTCCCATCATCAGAGTCCCCCCCGTTTACCCCGTCACCCACCTGTACCCTTATTAGCCCCGCCCACCTGTACCCCTGCTAGCCCCGCCCACCTGTACCCCTGCTAGCCCCGCCCACCTGTACCCCTGCTAGCCCCGCCCACCTGTACCCCTGCTAGCCCCGCCCCCTCCACCGTTAAAGGAATATTCCCACTAAAGCTGAGGATCAGAGCCTGACTTCACACTTTTCAGCTATAAAGTGTTGAGTTTAATTCTGCAGCTTTAAAGACAGAAGAAGAAGAATTATGTTCAATAATCCAAAAGATTTGAACCCAGAAACATCTTCTTGTTTTCACACCTTCAAATCTGCATAAAGTGACTCAACATTCCTCATGCAGAGGAGAATCACTCACAACCACTGATCAATAAACACCAACGTTTGACATCTGAATATGTTCAGGGTGATTATGTCTGATCATACCAGGCTGAAGGAAATAAACGGATCTGATGCAGGTTAGATTTATAATCAGCAGCAGTTGGAAAAGAGTTTTTCTGCTGCAGGTTAGATAAGTTAACATCCTGCTGAATGGAGCTGAAGTTGCAGCCTGAATGAATCTGTTGGCTTCAGGGAGAGCAGCTCCTTCAGCAGCGCGTTTCTGTTTTAGTTTGTGGGTTTTTGTCATTTTTGGTTTTATATTTTGTGTTTGAGATGTTTGTTGTGTTGAGGATAAAAACTGCAGTTAATTTGAGCCGGAACCCTCTGCAGTGACGAAGCAGTGACGAAGCGGTGAAACCCAGAATGTGTCGGATATTCCTTTAACTTTCCCTCCCGCGTTTCATTCGCTTGTTTTGAGTTTTTGGGTGTTAAAGTTTACAGCGATCAGTTGCACTGAAAACATTTTCCTTTCACTTCACATCAACTGTTTACATTTGCTATTGTCTTATTTTGACCTGGCTGTTAATAATAATCTTTTTAAATAAAAATATTTTTTGTCAAATGTTGATTTTTTAAGTTATTTTTACAATAAGTTTTTCAGCACAAAAATCTGTACAAACTGCAGTTCTGATACTTTAACTCTGGTCACATGACAGCAGTGTTTCAGGAGGAAGTGATGTCATAATCTACTGAAGGTAGATTATATTGAATTAAATCGATTTAATTCTTGGTTTGATTCTGCAGCTCTTTAATTATAATGAGAAGTTTGCAGCCACATCTGGTCAGGACTTTTCATCTGGTTTTAAAGCATTTCATTAATTAATTTTTATTTTAATGACATCAGTTCAACTTTCAGACATCTTGCATAAATTTTCTGAAAGATTTTGATCTGGTTTCTGTGGGTGAAGAACTGGATTCAGAGGAAAGAAGTTCTGAAAAACTAAACACCAAATAATTAGTTTAACGGGTTGGACGTGAGACCAGAACCATAATGTTCAGTTTCATCACAAACATCAGAACCGTTATTGTTATCCGACATTCGGACAGAAACATGAAGCTGAAGGCCACAGCGGGCGGTTCTGACCCGAATCTCCTGGGTTTCATCAGAGATGAAACCAGTGAAGGAAGCTGATCCCGTCAGAATATTAGACCAGATGTTCAGTTTGCAGCAGAACCTCCTGCTGGAGGAAAATGTCTTCATTTACAAACAAACACAGGAATCCAGGATGTTTGAGTATTTCAGTCTCTGAGTTTGGAACATCACCTCCATGATTCAACACTGATTTATCAGATTTCTTCTGATATGAAAAAATCCACAGATATGAAAAAATCCACAGACTGAACTAGAAGATCACAGATAAGAATTAGTGATCTGAGGCTCCTGCACTTCCTGCTGATCAGAGATCACTTCTGATGTTTACTTTGAAAACATTTAATGCAGTTTAATAAACTTTCAGATGAATAAAGTTCAACATCTGTGTTGAAGTTTTGCTCATTAACTGTTAAACAATCAAGTTTATATTCATGCTCTTATTTTGAAGTGGCACTTTGTTTAAGCTGCAGCAAGGTACATTCATTCTGTACCCAGAATGCATTGCTTATAGCTGTTTGCAATATCAGCTATAAAACTGAAACTTAATTTCACGCTTTAGCATCAGCTTATACTGAATAGCATGTTGATGTAGCGCTTTAGCGTTAGCAGAACTAATGTTTATGTTTAGTGTTGAAGGAATCAAAAAGTAAAAGAGGATCTAATAGAGTCGTTACACCTTTAAGTTTTTCTGTCAAACTGGTTCTGGTTCTGAAGTCCAGCAGATGTTTCTGACCTGATGTTGTTGCCTGTACATCTGCAGGCGGCCTGTACATCGACAGTGCCTACTACCAGCCGCAGACCATCGCCACGCCCATCATCATCCACCTGGGCCCTCAGGATCTGTTCTGACCTCTGGCTCCAGACAGGAACCAGAATCCAGACCCAAAGCCCGGTTTGACCTCCAGTCTTCTCAAACTGTCTGTCGGTTTCCTCCTCCACACGACGGCCAGCAGCACTGAAAGCAATATGGAGGACGATGGCGGCGCGTCGGGCAGCACAGGTCCAGTTCTGGTTCCTGAGGAAAACAAAGCAATACTCTGGCTGCCTTCAGGGCCTCAGGGGCCCCAAACGTCCCGGAGTGAAACTCAAGAGGCCCAGAAACTCTGTGTAAATATTTACTGTGTTTCAGTAGAAACTCAGCAGCAGCTGAATATTTATTAACATATTTATGAATGTAAATACAGCCATGACTGTAACTTTGTTTTCAAAACACATATTTGCATATCGCTGTATGAGATGATGATGGTATTTAATCCTGTATTAAACATTCCTGTATCTCAGCGGTGCCTTTCTTCTGAGCTGGAGAATTTAAAATCTACATTTTCAATCATTTTGTTGTTTTGTTTGGAACAAACAGCAGGATGTTTTTTAAAGGTGTTGCGTGTTTTCTATTTTAGAGCACAACTGAGTAACTATTACTTAATTCAGTTGTTTTAAAAATGCTTTATATGTAAAATATGACTTAGAAGAAATTTTACTTCCTGATTTAATGTCTAGAATTTGGGCCTCTGTCTCTTTAAAACTCTTGCTCTATCTGAAGCTCCGCCTTCAGGAAGTCGTCCCAACATGGCTCCTCTGTTCACACTTTAACATTTTTACCAGAATTTCACTGAGCAGCAGCTCAGCAGTTCCACCAGCTGTTTGCCAATTACTCCTGGCTAGTCTGAAGGAGCTGAGTGAAGGTTGCTCTGTGAGACAGGAGCTCTGAGGAGGAGCTGCGCCTCGAAGGCGGAGCTAGGTCCACCCAGGTCTTTGCACAGCTCAATGGTTGGCATGGAGATTAAAGGATTTTTGCATGAAAGAATCAAAGCTAGGCTCCAGGTTTGTTCTTCGTGAGTAAAGTTGATTTTATGTAACATTTCTTTAAATCTTGATGTTTTCCACCAGAAGCTGAACATCCCGCTGTCGCTACAGAATCATGTTTTCCGGTGAAGTCAACTCTTTGGTTGGATCAGATGAAACTTTTCATCCATCAGTCGGCAGTTTGAGCCTGAAGCCTTTTGGTTCTGTTGAGCAGCAGCTCTGAGACTTTCTGCAGCTTCCTGAGTGAGTGTGTGCACACACTCCTCCATTCTGCTGTTTACACCTCATGGGGAAACCTTGACCCCGCCTGACCTCTGCTGACCTCAGAGCGGAGCTCCGCGTCATTCCTGACACCGAGCTGACAGCTGCGCCTCGGTTCTGCCGGGCTGCAGCATCAGCCTCCAGATCCTCTCGGTATTTTTAGCGGCGGACGCGGCGCCAGAAGGTGTTGGATTACGCAACGTGGGCGCATGGCAGCAGTTTGTGACGCTGTGTGAGCCGTCAGGCCCACCGTGGGTTTAATCACCTTGTTAGTCCAAAGCAAACCGTTCTGACATCAGATCTGGACACAGAACCGTCCAGGAGCAGGACGAGGAACGAACCGGCACCTAAACACTTTCACTGCATTATTATTAGTTTAATGTGTTTATAGATATGATTTTATATAACAAACATGCATTAAAATGCTCTGAAATATAAGGAAAAGTGTTGAAGCTACTGAAGGAGAGTTTCTGTCAGTTTCTCTAAAACAAACACATTCAGACAGACTGCAGCTCCAAGTCCATTAACTGATTCTGTAATTAAGACAAAACGGTACAAAAATATATCTATTTTATCTTTTCAGATGAAATGAAAACTTTTTCCTGTTTCTACCCAAAACTCTTCAGTTTCAACTTCACCTGGTTGAAGAAAAGAAATCTTAGCTCATTTTTTGCTGTAGATGATTTCTTTTTTATCTGATTAACCAATCGTAAAACATGAATCTATGAAATCAGAAGATTGATAAATAAAATAAATATTCTCTATGTTTGACCTGAAACAACAAAATTATAGAAACAATTATGAAACCTAAAAAAGCTTCATTTCACATGTTGAAAATATGGCATCATGTAGCAGCGCATTGTTGCACATTGACATTTTTAATCCGCAAATGTGACAACAGCTCCCTCTGCTGGTCAACTTCAATATCAAACTTATGAAAAGAAGGAAGATTTTAAAGGGCAAAAATTTCACAAAAAGATACAAACTATTTCATTTCACTTTAAATATGTTATTTAATTTATTTAAATTATAGAGGAAAGAAAAATTTTAAAAAGTTATAATCTGGTCAAAATAATATTATAGAAATGTTAGAAAATAAAATATGAAGAAGAGAGAGATGGAGGAATGAACAGATAAGGACAAATAAGCGATAAAAAATATTTTTCAGCTTTTTGTTGACAAAAGAAAAATATTTAGGAGAATTCAGCAAATTTCCACTTTGGCCACTAGATGGCAGCAAACCTGTGAGTTTGACTGAGATCAGCTGAAGTTTCTCTTTCTGCCCAAAAACTTATGTTTTTCTTCCAGATCCTGAATTTTAGTGTATTATTTTAAAACAAAAAATCAGGCTTCAAACATTTCACTTCATGTGTTTTGAGTATTTAATCTTCACTTTCTGTGACGAGGGAGAGAAATGTTGGACTTTTTCTGATCCAGAACTGTGAAGGCTGCAGAGATGAGGATCCGGTCAGAGAGTTGATCCTCTGATCGGTTCCAAGTGAAAACGGCTTCATTATCCTGACGGCCACAGCTGCTCAGTAGAACTGGGTTCAACTGGCTCTAAGTGCAGCGGGTCGATCCTCAGGCTGTGTTTGTTCCTGAAGTTTTCAGATTAAGACTCTGGATCATCTCTGCTAAAACTGAGACTTTGGTCTCAATTCTCACATTTCACTTCTAGGAGTACTTTGTGATTTGATGTTTTTCCTTTTGTTGTTCCTGCATGAGCTCATTCATTCATTCATTCATTCATTCATTCATTCATTCATTCTGCTTTCATCACTGGACAGATTAATGCAGTTTAACCCAGGATCCTCTGGTTGTTCCTGATGCCATGTTTTATGAGATGCAGGCGTCAAACTTCAGACTCTGCTTGGTTTCAGTTTGTTTCCCTCCAAACTGAAACTCAAACAACATTCAGATGCTTTTTGAGCCTCAGAGACTCTGAGGCTCGAAAAGCCTCAGACACATTCAGGTCTGTTTCCCTGAAATGGTTTGCTGGACGTTAACTCGTCTCAGTTCAAATCAGAGGCAGCAGCAACATGAGACTCAGACATTCAGGCTCTGATTTTTCACACAAATAAAAAGTCTGAATCCTTTTCTGAAAAACAGAAACATGGTTTTACTTCCTGATTGTTGCGTTGACCTGAAGCTGAACTTAGGTCATGAACTCTTCCAGATCATGTCTTCCTCCACTGGTGGAACTGGAATCATCGATCCCCAACTGGTTTGGGATCAATATGGCGAGTCATAAAGAATCTATATATTTCAGTTTTTTAAGAAAAAAGGTGTTTATTTCCGAACTCTGCGTTTCATTTTTATTTTTTTCCTAATCTTCATGTACATTTTGGGAAAGGAAAAATATGTTGTAAAATTTGTGATTTTGGGGGAAAAAATCACAACAATCCTAAAATCCTGGATCACATGGATTTATTACAAAGTGCAATTATTTGTTGTAATTTGAATTGTTGTGGTTTGCAGATAAAAGCTGAGCTTCAGCGTCTCCTGCAGTGACGCCGGATGAAGCCGGCTCCAGTTGGACCAACATCCGTCTGGTTTCTCTGTTTCTGTTGGACCGATTCGCTGCAGACGTCCGAACACGTTTTCAGAAAGCTGCAACATCCATCAGCAGGTTTTAGCTTCACGCCAGCAGATATCTGGCGCCTCCAACACCGAACTGTGATAAAAACACAAAGTTTTAAGCTAAAATAATAATAATGAATCTCTGCATGTCTCCCTCTCTCCTCCTGCTGCTCTCGGTTCTGCTCTTGGTTCTGCTCTCGGTTCTGGCCCAAATTTGGCGCCGTCGCCCCTGAAAAGGCAATTCCTCCCGACTGCCGGCATCTGGATTTTCCCACAGGAAAGTAAAAACATAAACTCTGACATAAGATGTTTTTAGATGAAGGGATCAAGGCTCTCTGGGATCCTGCGGCGCTAAACCAACTCTGCACCGCAGAATGAAAACATGAAATGACAAAGTGAAAACAGGGATCAATCAGCGACCGATCAGACAGTTTGACGAGTGGAATCACCGGAACCACGACATGCTGATGACGTCTCGTTTAAGGAGCTCAGGGTTTCAGCTGTTTTGCAGTTTTCTGGAAGTTTGTTCCAGATTTGTGCTGAAAGCTGCTTCTCTGTGCTTGGTTCTGGTTCTGGAAGCGGACCAGAACCAGAACCAGAGTTCTGGAAGGTTGATCCCACAGCAGCAGATGTTGAATCCATTCAGTGATTTATAAACTACCAGCCGTAGTTTAAGGTTTATTCTCTGTGGGTGATGTTCCCATCTTCTTGGTTTCAGTCAGAACTCCAGCAGCAGCTGCAGGATTGAGTTTCTGAACGAGTTTCTCTTTGGACCTTTAATCCTGGAAATGTTCTTCAGCTGACAGAAAGCCGACTCTGAGGCCAATCGGACCGGAATCGCTCCAAAAACAGGGACTGACCAACAGCGCAGAGCATTTTTAGTTGAAGGAAAAAAGAACAAAACAAATCCAGAAAATTACTGTTTCATCTGCTGAACTGGATGAATTTTGTGTTTCTGAAGCCACAGAAACAAACCGAGCGTCGGTTTCCCTCATCCCTTGGTTTCCTCTGATGAGCAGATTCCTTTAATTCTTTGGCAGCATCATGTGAGGCGGCAGAACGATCGCCTGGCAATGAGACAACAGTCATGTGACCCGAAGGAAACGCTGCAAACAGCAAATCAACACTGTAGTAAACATTTGGTTGGACTTTCTGCTAAAAGCTGGAGCTGACTCGGTCTGACATCAGCAAGTTTACAGAAAGAGTAAATTTGTTCCAGCAGATCAGAGGCTGAACAGCAGAAACACTGTGATGAGTTTTAAATGTTGGTTCTGCTGCCTGTTGGTTCACTGAGCTTCACGTTTTCCTGCTGGATGATCCAGAAACATTCAGACACTAAACCTCAGTGAGCGCCACTCCCACCCAGGACAGGATATTTACATGATTTCAGTACAAAGACTTTCATCATCATTGTCTGTATCAGCGATCATGTTGTGTTCTGCACACAGATCCTCCTGTTTCTCCAGAGTGAGACAGAAAACAGAGCAGCAGAGCCAGCAGGAGGAACTGGTTTGATCCCAGTTCACTGCCGTCTGACATGAAGCTTCAAAATCAAACTGAACCAAAATGAATTCAACTGTCTAATGACAAAAACTTTCATAGAAGAAACTATTTCTGATCATTTTTCACATTAATAAATAAAACTACTAATAAAACGTAATTTAATCTGCGTGTTACAGATTAAGTTACGTTAATCTGAAACATGTAATTGGAGAAAACTGAATACAAATCAGGAAGGACTGAAATATTCCCCCAGCTCTGCTGAGTCTCTGCTTCTAGTTCTGGACATGAAAACTGTTGCAAAAGGAATAATCAATAAATCCATCACAATTAATCCATTATGGTTTTTTATTATCTCAAATGAATCCAGAAACATCAACAAACAGAACATTCAAGTTTTAATCACATTGTTTACAATAAACTTGAGGAAAATGTTCAGACCTCATGCTGAGAAGCAAACAGCTCAGAGATTAAAGCCCTTAGTCTGGATTATTAATCTGTTGTAGGATTATTGCACAAACTCCAGGAATGTAAAATCTGCACATTTTATGAGATCTGTGTTGCATGTAGAAACTGTTTCAGATACATTCAAATAATTTATTTTCACAGCAAATTAAACAGATTCTGTCCGTTTTCTGACTATATAGAGAAATAAGCTGAATAAATATTAAGTAATAGAGCAATAAAAAGAAGTTCCAATATTAAGTTAATTTGTATTTTTGACAAATAGTCATGCAGAAAATTCTGAGTGCAACTTTTGAAAAGTTATCATTTGTGTTTTTGACACAGTGAACAAAATAGTGAATAAATGAAACTGAATCAACAGAAAAACAGTCGGATCTCATCAGAACAGAATCGATTCATTTAGTTTCAGACAAAAACCAGAAAATAAAACAAAAACTAAACGTCGACTCAAAGTTTTGTCCTATTCAGAGTTTTCATCAAACCCAAAATAAAAACCAGGAATAAAATTATAAATCAGTTTCTGTTGGAGCGTTTGAGAGACGAATCTTTAGAAAACCTCCTGAGTTTTAATGAGCAGAGGCACTAAACAACTTTAATTTATTTTTTTGCTTGTTTTTACTTCTGAATCAGCTTGAAAGAAATGAAGAAAAGAGAAAAACTTTTTCTGCAATAATCTACAACCTGCAACATTTTTTATTTCCCTCTAAATAAAAAATGTCTAAAAATGACCAAGAGGAACAAAACCACATTTTTCTGTTTTTCTTACAAAAGCAATAATTAAATTATGCTCTTCATTTTTTAAATGCACATCCATAAAATGTTCTACAAAATGTGACTTTAAAGTCATTTCGTATTTTTCTGAAACGCGTTTCAATCGACTGCAGAGTCTAAAACAATAACTGAATGAAATCTGTTTTTATGAGTCAACAAGTTTCCACAGCCTGAATCCAATTAACTTTAATGTTGTTTCTGCAGCAATAAATCATGAAACGCGTCATTTCAGTTCACTTCCAACAAGGAGACGTCCTGTTACAACGACCGCTTTAAAAACAATGAATAAATGTAATTAGTTGTTCCTTCCTGACAGAATTCAGCTTCTTGAACTCATCAAGAAAATACTGAACTTTTTTAAAATCATTTTTTATTTTAGCTTGTTCAAAAATAGTTTGAGTTTTTTCTGCTTTTATTTTTCCCATAAGTGAAACGCAGTTCATGAAGGTTTTTACAGAGACGGAGGAAAAACTCAGAGAGGAAAGTTTAAACATTTAAAGCTCTTTAAATCAACTCTTCCTGTTGATCCACAATAATAAAAAATGTTTCTCAGATCAATAAAAATAGATGAAGCTTCACCTTTAAAACAGTTTATGGTTAAATTTCTCTCACATAAAACCCACAGTAAGGTGAAAAACCTTCAATAAAATCTTTAATAAAACCTTTAATAAAACTTTCACTTTTCAGTTTATTATTTTTTTTATTATTTTTTTCTCTGGTCTTTGAGCAAAAACTTCAAAATCAGAAGCAGAAACTCAGAATTTTATGTCTAATGGTTTTAAAACCAGACTTTGTGATTATCTTATGATGTTTACAATATTTTGATGCTTTTCTGCTTTTATAAACCGTTTCAGACTCAAAAACTAAACGCTTTATTGAATCGTGAGATTTCAGTACTAAGTTTAATAAATGAAAATTTTAATCTCATTTCTGTAGTTTAACTTCCATTTAAAGAAATCCCAGATAAAATATCAGGATCTGATGAAAAGAATCAAAGAACGCTGCTGTCCCTCCCCCACCTGTTGCTACAAACTGTTAGCCGGCGAGCTGAAGGATTGAAACTGGTTTTCTTGTGTGGAAGAATCAAACTTTGCTGTTCGGTTTCATTTCTTGGTGCCACTCATGATATAAAACATCAAAGTAATACTTTATTACAACATTCCTATTATTTTTGACAAGGTTTTTTACAGTGTAAATGTGATATTTTGCTGTTGAGCTTCAGGTTCTTGACCTCCAGGAGGTCAAACAGACGCAGGCCTCTGACAATGTGAAACGTTTTGCCATCAGGTGACACAGATTTAATAATCTGTAATAAAGTGATAATATATGATACAAATCTGAAAAATGTTTCTAGAATAATAATGTTAGTTATAAAGTCATGATCCTCCATTTTTCTTGGCTCTTCAATTTATTTCTGGTTGTAAAAACTTCTGGAGGAGCAGCATCTCTTTTTTAAGAAAACCATGTTTTACATTCTAAAACAGTAAAAAGTTACAGGAAGCTGCCAGAGTGAAAGTCTGAGCCGTAAAACGGAGCTGGACGAAACTTCGTTCAGTTTCTGTCTGCAGTCAGTTTAGAAACAGAGAAACGTGACAATCAGTGCGATAAATGCAGCTGAAAACCTGATTATTAAAATGATCTGCTGCTTTTTTACTGGATTAACTTCAAAACATGATAAACTGATCAGTTTTATGAGGGGATCAAAAGCTGCACAGACATAAAAGATTCAACACGTTTTGTTTTAGATACATTATGACAGCCACAATAGTCAAGATTAGAGCAATATTTGATCTAAAATTAGCCACAACAGGAACAATTTTTTCATTCATTTGTTTTAAAATGTTTTAGCACATAGTTTAGTTTTAAATATTGAAAAGGTGCAGTTACTGTCAGACTCTCCATAATGCTGAGAGAAGCACATCAAACCTTTAAGAAGAAAAAATTAGTAAAAGAGCCAAAACCTCAGATCAGATCCAGGCCTGACATGAATCAGGATCTTTTTTTTTTTGCATTTAGTCAAAACCAGTAAAACATTTTCTGCTTCAAACAGAAAACAGATCCAGGCTGCAGCTCTGCTGACGAAACGCTAAATAAACCGTCTGTCTCCTTGTTGTGCAGGTGGAGAAACGCTGCAGGCCAGAGAGCTGAGCTGATTCATGAATCAACATTTTCCATGAATCTGATGGATTCAGATCAGATTCTCACTCAGATCCTCCACATCTGGAGCTTCCACTGCATCCTCCCTGCAGCCATCAGCAGCTTCCCATCACTTCATCACAGCTTTGCAAAATATGGATTTTTTTCCACCAATCACCTCCTTGAGTCTCCATATGTCAGGTGGCCATCTTGTATTTTGTTGCTTCTATTTATTTGGACTTTGAATTCAAGTTAACTAACAAAATATAAAGGTCAGGCTAAAAAAAAGATGATCTTTTACAAAAATAAAGTCATATGACAAAAAAGTTGAAATATTGCCAAAATAAACTCAACATCAATAGAAGACGGTTGAAATATTAGCAGAATGAAACAGGAAGTTTATCAAAAATCCAGCATAAGAAAGAAGAAATTCACTCTGAAGTTGTTTCTTCTCCTGACCCCAAACAGAAAAACGAGACAATAAACTGTTTTAAAAAACTTTTTGCATTTGCTGGACTTTAAGAGTTTATTTGATTCTCTGAATTCACGCCTTGATATTTCTCATGCAGTTTGGAGTCACTTTACTGCAGTTTCCACTTCATGTCAGAAGGACCAGCAGGCATCAGCGCAGACGCCTCTCTGAGGTCCTGCAGGCGCGTCTCCAACCCTCCGCCGATCCGCGGCTGCAGCGCGTCAGACGTGGCATCGCGTGTCGGTGCGCAGGCTGCCGGGGGGCGGGGCCTTCCTGCCGTCTGCGCAGCCGAGGCAGGCGGGCAGCAGCGGCTGCAGCAGGCTGCCCAGGCCTCTCCTGAACACGCTGTTGGACAGGCTGTAGATGAGGCAGTTGCAGAAGCTGTTGCTGATGGCGAGCCACGTGGTGAGAAACGACGCCACCATGTGGCGGTACAGCCCGGCGCTCTCCAGCAGGAAGTAGAGGATGTAGGGCATCCAGAGCACGTAGAAGACGCTGGTGATGCGGAACAGCACCATGGCGTAGCGCTTGTCCGTGCAGCCGTCGCAGCGCTCGCCCCTGGTGGGCGTGGCCTGCGCGCCGAAGCGGGCGTGGCGCTGGCTGATCTCCCGGATGTGCTGCCGGCAGATCCGGAAGATGCTGCCATATGTGAAGCAGACCGTGAGCGCCGCCGGCGCGTACAGCAGCGCCACGATGAAGGAGCTGAACGTCGCGTTGGTTCTCCACGACTCGGCGCACCACTGAAAGACGTCGCCATGGTAGCCGGGCTTCCCCCAGCCCAGGAAGGACGGCAGGAAGACGAGGGCGGAGTAAACCCAGATGAGGACGATGCACGCGCGCAGCCGGCACGGCGTCACCAGCGTGGCGTAGGACAGCGGGCGGGTGATGGCGATGTAGCGGTCCACGCTGATGCACGCCAGCGACGCCATGGAGACGCTCTTCAGCACAGAAACGGCGTAGCCAAAGGCCTTGCAGGCGAGCTGCTGGTTCAGGCCCGGCAGGCAGCGCAGCAGGGACAGAGACGGAACCAGGCAGCTGACGCCCACCAGCAGGTCGGCGCAGGCCATGGTCTGGATGAAGTGTCCGGTGCTGTGGTGGTGCAGCAGCGGCGCGCAGTGGAAGACGAAGATCACCAGCAGGTTCCCGGCGATGATGAGCACAGCGAGGAAGAGGATGATGACCACCTCCAGCAGGCAGGTGTCCAGGCTGGGGGAGTAACCCACCGCTCCCAGCAGGCAGAACAAAGGAGAGCCGCTCTGGTTCGGACTGGAGGAGGAGTTCATGTTGGGTCGGGTTCAGCGCCACTCAGCGGTCATCCCATGTTCAGACTGCGTCCCTTTAAATCCTCAACATGCTGGTCTGCTTGCAGCTCAGAAAACAAAGCCAGGTCATTGTCCTTCAGTCAGCATGTCCCTCCGCCCCCCTCAGCGGCCGCCTGGCCTGCAGCGGCGGTTACCCTCAGACTCATAATGCAGCCAGACTGCACTGCTGCTGCAGCTGCTGCTGCAGCTGCTGCAGGCGGGGAGACAATCAGGAGGAAGAGTGATGCTGCAGAGCAGCTCCTCGTCTTCCTCTCATCACCCGGCGCTCAGATCCTGAGGTCTCGCTGCGCTCAGCCGTCCAGACACCTTCCTTCATCTGCTGCCGGAAAATAGAAACACTCCAAACACGCCGCGCTTTTCCTCAAACCGGCTCCAGACAAAAGAAAGACGGCCGGCGTTCCGGCTGCAGGGTCCCGGCATGGAGGGAGAGGAGCAGCTGCTGCTGCTGGATAACGATGGTCCCACAATGCCTCTCTCCTCTCCTCCCCCTGCTTCTTATCTCCCTCTTCATCCTCCTCCTCCTCCTCACAGTCAGTCCCTCCTCCTCTCCATGGTTTCCTGCTTTCTTAGAGAAATGCTTCCAGTGATTCCAGGTGTTAAAGCTAATGAACATGTCAGGATGGCTCAATGGGCTCTGAAACATCTTCATGACATTTTTCTCAGATAAAAATCATTTAGATGATGAGATTTTGGTCTCAGTTTTGTATTTTCAGCTGTTTTAGGGCATCCTGTCACTTTAAATCCTGCTGCTGCCCCCAAACTCAACGTTTACACTGACATGTGAAAATGGCTGCAAACAAATGTGTGATTACTTTACTGTACTTCTTTGAAAAGCAGAAGTGGGGCCTCCTGCACAACCAATAAAAATGGAGCAAGTGGTTTCTGGATCATTTTGTTTTCCAGCTGCCATTGTGCGGCAGTAAAACCAGCTGACCAAACATGCTGGAGCTCTCCTTGGGTTGCCAGGGAACATGCAGTGCCAGCTGATTTATGACGTCACAATCTGGAGGTTTTCAAACGGCTGTTTTTCCCGACATTAGCTAAACTGTAACTTCAGGAAGATGCAGGTTCCAGACGCTCAGCCTGCAGTCGGACAACGAAGCTGTGAACCAGGAGAAACCCGAGGAGCTTCACCACAAACTGCCTCCATAGCAACAAACTGCCTCCATAGCAACAAACTGCCTCCATAGCAACAAACTGCCTCCATAGCAACAAACTGCCTCCATAGCAACAAACTGCCTCCATAGCAACAAACTGCCTCCATAGCAACATGTCAACAATGACGCCGCTTCACGTTCCTGTCCTGCATGGCTGACAGTCAGATGTTTGGCTGGTTCATCGTTGGATCTCAACTGTTTTGTTCCTTCTTTATTCTTCCAGCTTAAAGGTCATCGATGCCTCATGTGCTCAGTGGTTTGGATCAGTCTGGTTTGGATCAGTCTGGTTTGGATCAGTCTGGTTTGGATCAGACTGGTTTGGATCAGTCTGGTTTGGATCAGCCTGGTTTGGATCAGTCTGGTTTGGATCAGTCTGGTTTGGATCAGTCTGGTTTGGATCAGACTGGTTTGGATCAGACTGGTTTGGATCAGACTGGTTTGGATCAGTCTGGTTTGGATCAGCCTGGTTTGGATCAGCCTGGTTTGGATCAGCAGCATCGTGTTTTGTGACCAGACCTCAGGATGGTTTCACCTCCACCAGATCCTCTGCAGCCTGGAGGTGGACAGGCTCAGAGCCTCCACACACACACACACACACACACACACACACACACACAGGCATTAAACCAGCAGCGTTAAAACGAGGGTTTATGAGCTCATCAACACTCCAGCTGAACATGAAACACACACAGAGCTCGCTCTGTTTTCTGATCCACCAAACGGAAAGAAAGGAAACTTCATAAAAGCTGAAATATCTTCTGATTCTCTGCGTGGCAACAGAACAAACCTGGTTGGAAAACCTCCAACGCAAACAGACTCAGCAGCAACATGATGAAATCCACCATCACTGAACAAAGACGACTAAAATACAGACAATAATAACAGATCCTCCTCCTGCAGTCCGTCCATATTCAGATATTTCAACAACAGTTGAATGATCTTTGCACAATGATATGATGAGTCTCAGGAAAAATAACCAGTATTTACATCCCAAAAACTTTAGAATAGCCCAGTTCACTCAACTCTAAAAGAAAAACTTTCTTATAACTCCTGTTTAAATCTGATCTTGTTCAGAAGGAGAAGTTCAGTAACAGCAGCTCTGCTTGATGCATCCAATAGTTTGACTGGAGAAATGAAGCCAAACGAGAAACGGCGAGAAGGAGAAGGACGGTTTTCTCTGGTCATTCAAACCAGATGAGACGAGTGAAAAGAAACCAACCTGATAAAAATGAAGGTTTTATTCTGTTTTTCAACCAAATAGTTGTTGTGCTTAAATCTGCAACTATTTGGTTCTTCTTCTTCTGAACATCCTTTCAAATCATGACATCCTGTTTGATTTGGTTGTTGACTCCCCCTGGTGGTCTGGAGGACTTCTGCTTTATGGATCAAGTTTGCAGCGTTTCATATGTTGTTGATATTTGCAGGATTTGAGTTTTGGTTTATTAGTTTATTTTTATTTGAATTTCTGTTTTGTTTTCTGTTGCTTTTGTTTTGAAGTTTGCATCACTCATCTGTGTTCTGTGACGGTTTCCCCACACAGCAAACATCCTGCAGAGTTACAGATCAACTCTTTACTCCACAGCTTAGTGAAAACAAAAGGAAGTTGGATCCTCAGCCATTTCACAGGGTTTGCAGTGTTTCATGTAGCTCTTCATGCTCTTCATGCAGCAGAAACGAATCAGACGTGCTGGTTTAACTTCCTCTCTGCTGCAGAGGCAGCAACAGGCTGCATCCTCCTGCAGCTGAGCTTCAGCTGACGGTTTGTTCAGTCATTTATTAGTTGTGCAGACAGGAACCAACTCTTAATTGACTGTGGCACCAGGAACTCCCCCACCCAACCATGTGAACATGTGCTTAAAGTTTATTCAATTCCACCGGGAGCTCCTTCAGGCCACTCTGTAACCGTGGAGCTAAAAACAGAAAAGAGGAAAAGCCAGAAGGATTTATGCATGAAAGAAAGAAATGACATTTTACAACCCGGTCAGTGATGCTCTGACTGGAAGAAACCAGATTTGACTGATTTTAGACTCAAACTGAACCTGGAGATCCAAATTAAAAATAGTTTCAAAATCTTTTAAATGACTTTTCAAAAACACGCCTGGTGACTAACGCCGCCTTAAAGAGTCACTGTCTGTCAGATGCTCCAGTTACTGTCTGTAACATTTCACTCTGTACTTACTGGCACCACTGACGCCCTCTGGTGGCCAGACTGGGAACTCCAGTCACTTGTCTCCTTCCGTTTCTTGAGCCTCAAAATCAGCAAAATATTCATCTTAACTTCAAATATTTAAATATTTATTCTGCTCTCAGTCTCAATTCAAAGGTGGAAATAATGTTTGATCTGAGAAACCAGGAGAGATGAAAGGTGTAAATGAGTTTTTAATTTAAACTGCAAAAAGACTGAATTCAAAATGTAATAATCATATTTAAATAAACAAAATCTCCCTTTCAGAGACATTAGAGGCTTCATGTTTGTTTTAAAAACACATCTAGGCTTTTAATTTTAATTGTTTTAGTAGAAAGAAAAACTCAGTGAAAATTAAGAGGAGCTGCTTTGAAACGGCAGTAAAAAGAATAATATTCTGGACTTTGGACGTTTTTATTTATATTGCAGGAATATTTCAAACTGATTTGTGACTAAATGTGAATTGAAGCCAAAGATTCAGATTAAAACTGATAAATTGTCTCAAATTCTTTAATTTCCCTTTGGATCAATAAAGTCTGTTTTAAATTGAATTTGACAAAAAAGCCACCAAAGTCCAGAAAGCAGAAAAAGAACCAGAACCTCAAAGCTCTGACATCCCAAACCATGTCAGAGAAAATGATTCATTTGCTTTTTGTTTCACCAAACTGAACAAACTTTACTCATTTCTTTTAGTATCTCAGAATAACAAAAAGCTGTTAGTAGCAGGAGTCTGTTTCAGAGCTGCCCGTTGGGTCGGGTCGGGTCAGAGCCGGTTCTGACCGGCGTGAAGCCGCTGTAGCGTCCGTCTGGACTCGGATATTCGTCCCTGATCTTCTGCACGCAGCAGCGGGGGATGACCGGGTGGGAGTCGGCAGGAGGAACCCCGAACCTCCAGCTGATGAATTGCCTGTAGGCGCAGTGACGCAGGGCGGCGCGCTGCGCCCCGCCAGCAGGGGGCGACAGAGGGTCCTGGTAGAGCAGGACGGCCTGCAGCAGCGAGCGGTCCAACACCAGCCGCCTGAACGCAGGAGACGAGGCGATGCAGGCGCCGTCGCTCCGCCTGCAGCACAGCTCCTCCTGGGGGAGGGTAGAGGAACTGCAGCAGCCGCATTTACACCAGCCGGGCTGGCGCCGCTTGGGGTCAGGGGTCGAGTTCTGGTCCTGGGGAGGCTGAGCGTCCACGTTGAGGTCCGGCTGCAGGAGACAGAGAGCGGCTCTCAGGTGTCCCGAGTCCTCCTGAGGGGACAGAAAGACTTCAGGAATCAAACTCAGATTATGAACAACTGGAAACCTGGAATACCTGAGCATGAAAAGTTTACCGGCACCAAACGGCTCAGTGGAAATGAGCCGCAACGAACCGGAGCAAAGTCATTTCTCTGCTCTGGTTCTACAGATGTAGAAAAATACATTTGTTTGTTCTGCTCTTTGAGTCCAGTTCCAGCTCTGCTGTCCTGCTGCAATGACTGATGGAAAAACCTGAACAAGTTTCTGATGTTTTATGACATCATCGTGGTTTGAGTCTGTTTTGGTTTTTAGATCTAAGATGTACATTATTTTCTAATCACCATCAAAGTTCAGCTGAACATGATTGAAGTGAAACGTATTAAAACTGTGTGAACAGTGGAAATCCTGAAACTGCAGCAGCTGCACGTTGGTTCATGCAGGTTTGGACCGGTTCTGCTCTGGTTTCTCACAGAACCTGCTTTACCTTGCGCGGCAGAACTGACATGGGTTTTATGTTTTGGAGACTCTTCTTGCGCGACCTCTTGACCAGCCGGAGCTTCTCTTCATCGACGTACGACACGCAGAGGATGCACTGCAACACAGTCAGAGCAGAGATGACGGACTTCTGGTACCGATCGCTTTGCCAAACAACAGCGGCTGGCGTCCTCACCTGCTGCGCGTCCCGGACCGACTCCACCGTCCTCTCAGAGTAGTTCTGTCCGACGTCTGCAGAGTAGCAGCTGGTTTCCAGCAGCCAGTCGATCAACAACGTCGTCTGGGAATTTAAAACACAGACTGGAGAAAATGACTGACTTTATACCAGAACCAGAACCTGGACATCATCTCCAAACTGTCTAAGATACAAAAATGTTGAGCCTTTAGTGACATCTAGTGTTCAGGAAATGAATTACAGGCCTTTCTCTAGTCAGTGAACATGTCGGTGTGAAATGTCTCGGTGGTCAGTAGATGTGTGACCGGGTGCCGCTCCTCACCAGAGCGAAGTACGACAGCGTCGACCCGATGTAGACGATGAGCTGAATGAAGCTGAACTTCCCCGCCTGAAACACAAACCCAACGCTGAGCTGTCATCTCCAGAGACATTCAGAAACACGGAGGCCAGGAGTTCTCAATAAAATCGCCTGACCACCAATCAGAACAAGAAAACATCTGGAGCTGCAAGTCAGGAAATTGTGTTGAGTAAAACAGTCCAAACATCACAAATGTTACTTTGAACA